CAAAATCTGTGGAACCTCATGTCTTTCGGACTGAAGGTTAAAACAGGAGGAAAGTATTGTTAGCTCATGTTTTATCTCTTCTCTAGCTTCCAATCATTTTACCTAACTATTCCTCCAGTTTTGCCTGTGAGTACTTTGTGTCCATTTTCAAAAGAGACAGATGAAGAAGACCACAAATTATTTAAAAGTGGAATGTTGGAAGCATAATTATGGTGAAGAATGAAGTTTGAATAAATTCGGTTTCCTTGAAAGTTGATAAATCACCAGGCTTGGATTAATGGCCCAAATATTCCAAGAGCAAAATTCATCATCAGATTTCTACTCCCCACATTTTATTTTTTCTCTGTCCATTCCCCACATTTCCAGGCTCATTTTGCAATGCTGGAGGCTTGAGGAAATGCCTAATGTATCTTTTCATTAACTGAATCCAAATACTATAGGTCATTCAGTGAAGCCAAGTCACATTCCTTTTATTTATAACAGTAACCGCTGTACTCTGGTAAACTCGTCTATTTACTAACATGCTGAACAGCTATTGGACATTTAAACCCTGGGTAAGTGGATAAGGGGATATAAGGATTAAGCTACGTGATTAAGGAACAACATGTGTAGGATGACAGTGTGGGTCAGTGACGAGAGGATAGGCAGGGCAGGGTTCGGACTGGAGCAGAGGAAAAATGTCAAGGAGCAGTGGGACAGGAAGGGACAAAGTGTACAGCTGAGGATTTTGTTTTATATTTAACCAGGATTGGACCTTTGGGAGGGGTGGGTTGGGTCACTCCTAGAAATTGAGGAGGAACCAGTCAAAAACAAAGTTGCTGGAAAGGCTCAGCAGGTCTGGCAGTGTCTGTGAAGGGAGAAACAGAGTTAACGTTTCGGGTCCGGTAGCCCTTCCTCAGAACAGGTCAGTTGGGTCCAGAGGTCCGTGAGGAGGAGCTGGTTTTGAGGTGGTGGATGTGTGGTTAAAGTTAGAGCAGCATTTAATTCTACTAACTTCTCCCTAACTCTTTGTAAATCAGTGCAATGACTGCCAAAAGATTCTGACACGTGTTTCTCCAGGGGCCATAAAATCCAGGCCAGATCTATCTGAGTCTCCTAAGGGAAGCAAGGAATAAAATACAGCTCTGACCATCATTATCCAGTTCATTCAGGTTATGGAGGGTTTCTATGATGATTTCTCTTTTGGAAAGCTTATGGATGCTTTTGAAACTGATGTTCTCTTTGACGGTGCTGTGGAGGCAGGTTTGATCAAGGCATCAAAGATGCTCAAGTGGCTCTAAGATGTGTGCGGGTGGAATGGGTTTCAGTTCAGTTCATGGGGCATTGGTGGCATTTGTGGGCTTGAAAAGAGCTGTTCCAGTGGGGCAGGCTTAAATCAATATCCTTGGGAGTCAAATAATGAGGATTTGAAACAAATTAGTTGGGAGGGAGGATTTAGGAGAGAGGATATGTCAGCTTACAAAGCAGAAGGATATGTCAGTAATGTAGAGCACCTTTTTGGATAACAGTAACGATACCCAGAGTGGGACAGGAAAGGACAGAACAACAGTAAATAGGGTAAAAAGTGGAAAAGAGATTAAAAAGTGATATAATATTCAAAAGAAAATAATGAATTAATGGCACAAAAATAAGTTAGTGGAAGGATTACAGAAATAGTTACACAAAGATTAAAACTGGGAATTAATTACTCTGGGATATGTGACTTCCAAAAGGTTGAGTAGAAAGGAAAGGGTTGGTACAAGATGGAATATGTACTGTCGCAAGAAACGATCTTGGCTTACGCTTATCTGATCGTAGGTATTCCGTGATGATGATGATGATGGGCTTGTTCATGAGGTTTCCAGAGGCCGTACCATTGAAAAAGATAACAACAAAATTTGCAATTGAGGAGTTAGTCTAGGTTTCCTTTTCAGTTTAGTAAAAAGTAATTCAATCTGACCAGAGGTCAAATTTCATTTCAGGAGGTTATGTATAATTTAAGAATGAAGTCATCTGTTCATCAGCTGTAGTCAAAAGATGCTTTTTTTAAAAAAATTCATGCAGAGGATGTGGGCATCATTGGCTAGGCCAGCATTTATCGCCCATCCCTAGTTACCCTTGAGAAGGCGGTGTTAAGCTGCCTCCTTGAACCACTGTAATCTATTCGGTGTAGATAGACCCACATTGCTGTTAGGCAGAGAGTTCTAGGATTTTGACCCAGGAAAGATGATATTTTTCATACTCGTCAACGTGAATATACTGTATCCAAAAGGAAACTCTGAGGTGAACTGCAGACAAAGTCAGAGGGTGACAAGTGAAATTGTTGAAAAGGTACTCTGACTGTGAGCAGACAGTAGGTATAAGGCAAATGATAGACCCTGCAGATGGTCTCTCTTCCACCTGATCAGGCTAAAAGTTGTACACTTGACTTTGGAGGCATTTTTTGGATAACTGTCTGTGCCAGGAACCATCCCAGCCAAAGCAGCATAGTCAAGTACAGGAATACGTGCAGCCATCAGTTAAGTAGATTGGCACTGAAGCTTCTCTTACAGCAGCAGGTTCCTTATTCTGTGGTTTAAAGGTCCTTGATCAACTTGGACAGCTACTGAGAAAAAGCCAGTGTGTAAGAAAGGTGGGTGAGGTTGTTGGGTGCCAGCTGCTTGAGGGGTACGGGTGCCAGGTTATTCAATCCTTCCTTGTTACTGATTCCAGGAATGAGAAACTTCATTCTTGTAAATCACCAGTGCATCTTTCCTATAGTGTGGCACCAACAACTATACACGTGCCAGCTAAATGATAAATGACTTGTGCAAGTTCAACAAAACCTCCCTGCTCTTGAACTCTTAAACCCCTAATAACAAATCTGAGAATGCTGTATGGGTTATGAAATGCTCTCTCACTTGTCCTGCCACCTTCAATGATCTGTGTACATGTACACACCCTGGCCCTTCTGCTCCTTCACCCCCTTTAGAATTGTATCCCCTATTTTCTATTGTCTTTCAATTTTTTTAAACCAAAGTGCATCACCTCATTGTTCTCTTCATTGAAATTCATCTGCTACCTCTCTGCCCACTCCTCCATTTTGTTAATGGCCTTTTCGACTCCAACACCAACCTCCCCATAGTTGATAATTCTTCAAAGTTTACTGACATCTACAAGCTTTGAAATTGCCCCCTGTAAACCAAGATCCAGATAAAGCAGCTCAAGAATGTTGTGATCTCTGTGTCTTTCATACTGTATCCTAGTTAATATCTGGGGAGTCCCAACTCTTATTGCTCTGTTGTTTTTGCACTTGGAAGTGTGCCTATACATTGGCTCCTCTGACTAGCTCCTACTATTTCAGGTCAACTGTTCACACCTAGCAGTGTGGCTGCTCATTTTTTGCTTCTGAGCTTAATTCATATAACTTAATTTGAGTTCCAACAGCTGTGAGACCCCTTCAAATCCTCAACATGTTTTTAATAGCCCAACTGGCCCATCCTTGATCTTGATCCTGATTCTTGTCTTGAAACATCCAGTGAAAAGTTAGGTACCAATGAACATGCTGTGGGTTATGGATTGATTAGAAGCTGAATGGGCTGACTACACAAATTCTGTAGTTGTCAGTTCAAGTGAGAGGCTGTGAGTTCTGTGTCACCTCTTGTTTCCCCAAAGCCTGTTCACAAGGCACAAGTCAGGAATGTGATGGAATACTCCCTGCCTGTGTGGATAACTGCAGCAGCAAAGACACTGAAGAAGTCCAACAGCTAGAACAAAGAAGCCTTCTTGATTACCATTCACCCCCTGTGCCACTGACACACTGCAGCAGCTCACCAAGTCTCTTTTAACCTGAAATCAGGGCAGCAGATATAAGAAGAAAAGCTAAATTGCACTCAAAACATTAACTCAGTTTCTCTCTCCACAGATGCTGCCAGACTTGCAGAGTTCCTCCAGCACTTTTATCCAGGGGCAGCAGATGCATAGGGAACACTGCCACCTGCAAGTTGGAACTATGTTGCTCCTTTGGTTTCGCTGGATTAAAGTCCTGAACTCCTCACAATGGCATTGTGGCTGTGCTTACACCACATGAACTGCAGTGGTTCAAGAGGTGGCTCAACACCGCTTTCTCAAGGACAGTTAGGGGTTTGCTTAGTATGCAGCACTATCATCCCATGAAAGAATACAAAACAAAAATGCAAATCAGCTTTAGGGCTTCAATATTTAACGCTTCAGTTTTCTGACTACAAATATTCTCTTGGTTGTTACTTACCGGGCTTTTAAAATTGTTTGCAAAAATATTCATAGTGACATAACCATTCACAGTCAGTTGTTACAGAATTCAGGGTTGTGTGACTTGCATTGCAGTGCAGTCAGACATGCAAAGTATGTGCAATAGCAAAATATTGCTTTTGTTGGAAATCGGGAATAAAAACAGAAATTGCTGGAAATACTTATCCAGTCTGACAACACCTGTATAAAAAGAAACAGTTAACTTTTCAGGTTATGACCTTTGTCAGAAGGTCAGCTGAAGTTCACAAATCATAAGCGTGACCTCTGTTTCTCCCACCACAGGCACTGCCAGATTTTGAGTATTTTTAGCATTTTCTGTTTTTATAGAAAGCAAATCAGTTCTTTTGAAGGTGAGTTGTGTTGTATGTTTCCATTAAAGTCAGGTTTATAAGGTAGCATATTTACATGTTTCAAAGGCTTTCATGGTGCTAGATCTCTGCATTTATCCGTTTTGCTTGATTTATTTTTTCGTCTTATTCTTAGGACACCACTCCTTGTTGTGCTCCAGTAGTCTTGTATCTCCTCACTGTTTCCATTGTTTAGGTGAATTGTTCAGTGCTAAATGACTGATCACGCATGTCCCAATAGAACTACAGCTTGTCTTGACTCAATGATCACCTCTACATTCCAACCCACCTACCTTTCAGGGTGACTGAGTAGCGTTGAGTGTGTGGATGTTTTGTTAATGACGTGCATTGTTTGATTAAAGACTAAGAGCCCATACTCGCAGCACATCCCAATAGCACTGAAAGTAATCCTTGAACCTGATACATTTATTGTCAGTCTGTGGTGCAGTTAGTTGGAGTTTTCAGCTGGTAACCAAAAGATTGGTGATTTGAGACGATCCAGAGATGAAACACCCACTGTTGAGGAAGTTCATTATTGTCTGGTGGTTCATATCGCAGGAAACTGGGGTTCAATTTCCCAGCGGGGATAAATCGTTTTCCGTGGTTAGCTGTGGAAGATGAGGTCAGTTTTTACTGCAGGAACTGGAATGCATCATCAACTCCAGGAATAACAGTTTAATTTGATTTTGTAAGTTTCCTTTTAAGATTGGTTACAGTGTCCTTTCAGACCTGGTTCTTTAAGTTAAACAGTTGAATTGTTCACGAGAGTGCTCTATAGAAAGTCAGCCAGGGCACTGGGTCAGTCGCTAGGAGATAGAGACCTCTGATACTATTGTGAATGTAACTGCTATCAAGATTTGTTTTCCTTTGGCATGGATCCATATGACGTCCTAGACATTTTTGTTTTCTCTAATTAAGTGCACTGTGGCTAGCTCTAGAGACTCGGTAGCTACCCCAATTGAAATAATGAACTTGGCGTGTGAAGGGGATCAGACCTGCACCATGTTTGATCTGCTATTCACTGCCTTACACCGAGGAACTTCCTGAGTATGTTCGTTTTCCTGAAGAAAAGTTGTATTTGTATTGTGGAAACTTTCGTTCCCATTGAGCTAGTAAGATATCTGACAGTTGAAAGGACAAAACAGTACAGTACAGATGCAAGTCCTTCAGCCTGCCATGTCTGTGACGACCATGCTGCCATTCTAAACTAATCCCATCTACCTGAATATGGCCTGTATCCTTCTATTCCCTGGATGTTCATGTGTCTGTCTAAATGCCTCTTAAACATTGACTCCCTAGTATTTTGTTTCCACTCCAAGAAAAAGAGTCAGACTTACCCACCTTATCCATGCCTCTCATAATCTTATATACTTCAATTAGGTCACCCCTATGTCTCCAAAACTCTATTGAAAACAATCTACGTTTGTCCAACCTGTCCATAAAGCTACTACACTCCAATCCAGGCAACATCCTGGTAAACCTCTTTTGCATCCTCTCCAAAGCCAACTATGCACTACTGTACTTTGGGGATAGTTTTAAAATATGTGAAATATTTGCTATTAAACTCTCCAAAGAAAGACAGTATCTTTCACATTTAATAAAAGTTTGATGCTTTTCAGTAACATTGTAAACTGCTTTTATACTTGCATTGCCTTGTCGGTACTTTTCAAATCAAATTAATATTTCATTAAATTTAAAGGATAGTCAAAACTAGATATTCACTTTTCATTTAAACAAGATTTATTAATCATAAAGTGATTTGTCCCCTGTGGCTGCAATTGTTTCTGTGCTAAAATGGACACGTAAAATCCAATTTGGTATAGAATCTCCAGATGTTGTTACCCTGTCTGAAATATTGGTTTGGAGATTCCATTGTCATCTGCCTTGGTTAGTCAAACCATTAAATGTTGAGGTTTACAGCATGGAAGAAGGCCATTCAGCCCATTATGTTTTGAGCAGCAGACAACAACTCATTCAACCTAATCTTGACTTTATGTTGCTTTGAATGGATTACCACAACCAAACTGAGTAGTTAAAATAAATATTCCCATTTATCTTTCACCGTGCCATTATCGTATTCAAATCCACACATTGTAGTGCTCAAAGTTGTTAGCACAAATCCTTTCATGAGTGGTCCAGTATTCTGGATATGTTTTTCATCGTAATAGATTAGATGAAAGTTATAAATTGGAGGAACGTTAATTTTGAAGGTATTAGGCAATAACTTTCAAAAGTTGACTGGGGACGGATGTTCGCAGGTAAAGGGACAGCTGGAAAATGAGAAGGCTTCAAAAATGAGACAATGAGAGTCCAGAGACAGTAAGTTCCTGTTAGGGTGAAGGGCAAAGCTGGTAGATGTAGGGAATGCTGGATGACAAGAGAAATTGAGGTTTTGGTCAAGAATGAGAAGGAAGCATATGTCAGGTATGGACAGCAATCAAGTGAATCTCTAGAAGAGTATAAAGGCAGTAGGAGTATACTTAATAGGGAAATCAGGAGGGCAAAAAAGGGGACATGAGATAGCTTGGCAAATAGGGTTAAGGAGAATCCAAAGGGATTCTACTAATACATTTAAGGATGAAAGGGTAACCGGAGAGAGAATAGTGCCCCTTAAAGATCAGCAATGGCCGTCTATATATGGAACTGCAGGAGATGGGGGAGGTACTAAATGAGTATTTTGCATAAGTGTTTACTGTGGAGAAGGTTATGGAAGATAGAGAACATGGGGAAAGAAATAGCGACATCTTAAAAAATGTCCATATCACAGAGGAGGTGAACGTCTTAAAATACCATGAAGATGGATAAATCCCCGGGACCCGATCAGGTGTACCCTAGCTAGGGAAGTGATTGCTGGGCCCCTTGCTGAGATATTTGTATCATCAGTAGCCACAGGCGAGGTGCCGGAAGATTAGGGGTTGGCTAACATGGTGCCACTATTTAAGAAAGGTGGTAAGGAAAAGCCAGGGAACTTTAGACAGGCGAGCCTGACATCAGTGGTGGGCAAGTTGTTGGAGGGACTACTGAGGGACAGGATTGACGTGTACTTGGAAAGGCAAGGACTGATTAGGGATAGTCTACATGGCGTTGCATGTGGGAAATTGTGTCTCACTAACTTGATTGTGTTTTTTGATGAGGGCAGAGCGGTGGACGTGATTTGTATGGACTTCACTAAGGAGTTCCACAAGGTTCTGCATGGTAGACTGGTTAGCAAGGTGAGATCTCATGGAATACAGGGAGAACTAGCTATTTAGATACAGAACTGGCTGGAAGGTAGAAGACAGAGGGTGGTGGTGGAGGTTTACTTTTCAGACTGGAGGCCTGTGGCCAATGGTGTGCCACAGGATCGGTGCTGGGTCCACTGCTTTTCATCATTTATGTAAATGATTTGGATGTGAATACAGGAGGTATGGTTAGTAAGTTTGCAGATGACACCAAAATTGGAGGTGTCATGGTTACCTCGGAGCACAATGGAATCTTAATCAGAAAGTCGATGGGCTGAGGAGTAGCAGATGGAATTCAATTTAGATATGTATGAGGTGCTCCAATTTGGAAAGGCAAACCAAGGCAGGACTTCTATCCTTAATGGTAAGGGGTGTTGATGGACAAAGAGACCTTAGAGTGTAAGTTCATAATTCCTTCAAAGTGGAGCCACAAGTAGATAGGATAGTGAAGAAGGCTTTTGGTATTCTTGCCTTTATTGGTCAGTGTATTGAGCATAGAAGTTGGGTTGGTCACGTTGTGGCTGTATAGGATGTGAGTTAGGCCACTTTTGGAATACTGCATTCAATTCTCACTGCTATAGAAAGGGTGTTGTGAAACATGAAAGGATTCAGAAAAGATTTACAATGATGTTGCCAGGTTTGGAGGGCTTGAGTTGTAGGGAGACGCTGATTAGGCTGTGGGTTATTTTCCCTGGAGAGTCTGTTGCTGAGGGGTGACCTTATTAGAGGTTTATAACACTATAAGGGGCATGGATAGGGTGAATAGCCTCTCTGGGTTGGGGCTGTCCAAAACTAGAGGGCATGGGTTTAAGGTGAGAGGAGAAGATTGAAAAGGGACTTAAGGGGCAACCTTTTCACACAGGGTAGTGCGTGTATGGAATGAGCTGCCAGAGGAAGTGGTGGAGCCTGGTACAATTACAGCATTTAAAAGGAATCTAGATTCTTATATGAATAAGAGAGGTTTAGAGGGAAATGGGCCAAATGCTGGCAAATGAGACTAGATTAATTTATGAATGAGTTGGACTGAAGTGTTTGCTTCTGTGCTTGTACAACTCTGACAAATGCTTGGGCATTCTGAAGATAATTCCTAGTGCATGTGGGCTCACGGGTACAAAATTGGAATTTCTTTTGATGAGGTTAATATTAAAAAAATCCAAATATGACTGGAGTCCAACAATGGAAGTTGGACTCGATTATTGGGGTGAAATAAGCAATTTCTGACTAGTTTCATACTATGCTTCACATGTCATGAGAATAGTTGGCATAAAATTTGAAATATTTCCTATTCCTCAATATGATCCACACAAAAGTAACTTCACTGAAAGGGTCTAGGCCCGAAACATCAGCCTTCCTGCTCCTATGATGCTGCATGGCCTGCTGTGTTCATCCAGCTCTACACCTTGTTACCTTGGATCTTCCAGCATCTGCAGTTCCTACTATCACTGAAAGTGTATTCTGTTTAGTTTGATGCGTGCTAGCATACATGAAATAGAACCCAAACAAGATTCCTTAATGCAACGAGAAATTTTTTTAAATTAGACAGGAAGTGAACAAAAATTCCTTTTCGAAACACCTCTGCAGTTGTTTCATAGTGTCTTGTACCACCAGATATGTGTTGGAACACAAATACAAACACTCGAGAATAATGGGATTTTCATTTAGCAGTAGAAAAAGTAGTTAAATAGAGATGTTTAATTTGTATTAGTGAACATTCTTACTCCATAATTCTTTACTATATTACATTTGTTCAACAGTTTAGCTCCTCCACTTGCGGATTAAAAAGTGGACTTGAACAGTTATATTGCACTCAACTGCTAACAGGGACAAATGGACTACAATTAAAAACTCAGGCTGAGTGAAACAAGTAGAACAACACTTGTGAATTCCACAATGTTCATGAGAGTGTCAACACGAATTCTCCCATGTGTGGTCAGTGTTCTGTTTAACACAGAAGGTACACCAAGAAAAGCTACACCAAAGTCTTTTAAGGTACTGTAACTTTGAAATTTAACTCAAATTGCATACACTGTATTTTGTTGTCTTTTGGTTCCATCTGTTAGATATAATCACACTTTAAATTTTTACAGGTTAGAGCTCTTTGTGTTCAGTACATGGTGCTTGGTAAGAAGGCTGCCTTAGACCAGTGTCCTTTTTGCACAACATGACTCTCCAGTCCACTGTGAATGTGGCCTCCTGGAATACATACAAATAATGGATTAAAGGATAACTAGCTCTCAGTTTGATAGAGACAATAAAGCAATATATAACATTCCCGTTTCCTAAAAATGTAATGCCTCTATCACTGTAACTATTCAGTCATTAACGTTTCTAAACTAAAGAGGATTATCAATCAACTTTTCTTAAGAAACAAACGAGGTTTTTTGCAGTCTTTTATCACATCTGTTCTTTTCTAAAAATATAAATCGTTGTATTACTCAGGTGGTAAGAATATTGTCTTCCAACTTGTAGATTTAGCTTCCACTTTCCTTCGTGGTGAGTTGGAATACTATAGAGGCAATGTTGATCTGGTGTTTTAGGAGCCTTTGATAATTGTTTTTTGCGGTTATTGCTTGTGTCTGATTTTCCAGCTCAAGAGTACAGTACCACTGAATTTGGACTCTGTTCCTTCTTATTTGTATACCACCTTCTGTCTCAATTATGAATAATCTTGGAACCTCAGCAAAACAAAAAAAAAATCTGGTTCAGTAATATCCTTTCCTCCTGCAACTACTTCCTTACCTGGTCTAGCCTTCATGTAATTTCAGCCCCACAGCAATGTTGTTGACCCCTCCAGCCCAAAAGCACTACAATTTGGCTGGAACACTTACAATCTTCAACATGCTGATCCCTCCAGTGTTGATTGTAGACCTGAGTTTGGCTGACCAGTCCTGACCCCCATCCTGATTAGAGTACAGATTATTCGAAAAACGCAGTCCAGACAGCTTGATCAGTTCGCAGTTGTTCTAAACGTCACTGCTATTGTTTGGTGATAATACAGCAGCAGCTGGCCCCAGACAAAGGTTTGAATGACTTTCCTATAACTAGCTGCTCCCAGACAATTTGGGCCAGATTTGGTTTTATTATATTAAAATTGGTCTTCCCCCCAGTTCAGAGCTTCAGTCTATCTTTGTCCTTTTCCATAACAATCTAAAATCTTGCTGTATTGTGGTCACTATCATTGAACTGTTCCTCCACTGACACTTCTGTTGTTTACCTGCCTTCATTCGCTAAAATTAGAAAGTTCTATATACTGGCTTAAAAATCTCCTGAATATATCTGAAGAATTCCGCCCCTATAAGCCTTTCACATTTTTTCTATCCCAGTTAATCTTGGGAAGTTAAAACCCTTACTAATATTACAATTCTCTGAGATTTGCCTGCATTATCTGTCCCTCAATCTCTCCCTGACTGTTCGTTTGAAGGTCTATTGTACAATCCCAGCAATGTGTTTACACTTTTTTTGTTTTTAAGTTCTACCCATATGGCCTAATTTGAGGAGCCTTCTAAGATCCCATCCTTCCTTATTACAGTAACTGACTCGTTAATTAAGATTGAGACACCACCTCTCTTACACCTGCCCCACCTTACCTAAAGTTTTGGCACCATGGAAGATTGTGTTGCTGGTCCTGTCCCTCCCTCAACCATCTCTCCACAGTAGCAATGATCTCACGTCTCCATGTGTTAATCAATACCCTTAATTCATCTGCCTTACAAAACCCCTTGCATTAAAATAGACACTATCGAGATTCGCCATGTTCTCTTATGTTATAATCTGACTGTATATGTCTTGCAGATGACTTGATTCTTTCTCTCTATAATTGCTTGTGCATTGTTTTCTATTGAATCTCCACTCGGTATATCCCACTCCACTGTCAAATAATTTTAAACCATCACTAACAGCGCTAGCAGAGTTAACATTAAGCCTGCTATGATTCTTTGGAACTTCTGATATTGTTTTTTTTTCCCCTCCTCTATGATTGTGTATCATTCTGTATTGAATCATTCCTGTTGAAAAAAAGCCAGAACCTTTCCTTAATGCAGCTTTAAAGTGGAGGAAAGTAACTTGCTCATTATTATTCAATCAGCTGTCTGTTTGTCAGCCTTATCGAATTGTAGTGGAATTCCTTTTGAAGTTAGCTAATGCTGCAACTGGCTCAAACTCTTGCTCCGTCTCCTGTTGGTTTTACAGCCACAAGGTCTTCTGATTTCTCACTGTTTCACCTGTTCATTTTGTGGTCTCTAATTTCTCGCTCTCTGTTCTCCCCCACCCCAAACCCCACCACTCCAATACTGGTTTTATGCTGTCAAGCCAATACTACCTGCAATTTTGATTTTATTGATGCACAGACCTCCAAGGTCCACATGTAGCATTGACTTCTGAAACCGGAATTCAGTGTGTCAGCATGCCATCGCTGCAAAAAGAACTTTGGAACAGCTGGGCAGCTTAGAGGGAATGCTGCCCTGAACTCCTTTGTTCCACACATCGGTGACTTGGCCTTTCCACAAGCTTTCCAGATTGACCAAGATAGATGGCGTTTTCTTCTGCCTGTGACTTGATGAAGTCATTCACAGGCTCGACACTTCCTTTTCTCTGTTTTGATTTTTTTTTTCCTTCTGTCACTGTTTCGCTGCATCAGCTCTGCTGCCTTTCTCTCGGCTTAACTGAAGGCTAGATGTTTGAGCAGCCAGCGTTTTCATCTGTCCGCTCCTGGCTTAATGTGCTCTGGCAGTGTCTTCAGCCTACACTTGTGAGCTTGCTCTTTGCAATTAGCACTCTCTACTTCAGGGTGTACAGACCCTAAGTTAATTATTCTTTAAACTTGCATTTTGTGGCTGTAATTTTCAGTCTTGTTAAGAAGTGTCAAGCTTACCAAGGTTCTGTCTATGGCTTCAAGATTTATCTGGTACATTGATTTATTTGTGGCTAGAGACTGATGCATAACCTTTCAGAAATTGTGTCAAAATGAGTTCCTGCTGTCAGCATCAGTAAGGTCCTAGCTGTTAAATAAATGTAATCGTTTGTCAGCTGTCCACAGAAGAATTTGTTCACCCTCTTCTTTGCTTGTGCCTTTTAGAGCACCACAGAATATCAATGTGCACTTCTGCTTAAACTTCTTAAGGTGCCGTTATGATGACATCAACTTCCAAATTTATTGTGATTCATTGCTGAGCCAGTCAACATTCCATTTAGTTGTTTTCACACAACATACTCGGCTTTTCATTTTCTACATCTGGAGTACTAATTTAGGTCAATTTTTCCCAATCAGCATTAAGTTAATTTGAAATGTTCTCTTGTTTACTCCAAGATGTTCACAGTCACCATGTTGCATCTTCTATTGACTTCTGGTCCCCGTATGTTAGAAATAATCACACTTTAGACATTATAAGGTTACAGCTCTTTGTGTTTAATACAGTGTGCCATGCTGCCTGGTAAGAAGACTGCATTAGGCCTGTATACTGTTGGATATCATGTGGTTGACTCCTGCTGCCACAAGCCAAGCCATTCCATTCCAGTGCAGTTATAAGAATGGCATCTACCCAGCAATATGGAGAATTGCCCCCGTATGTCAAGTGCACAAAAAGATGACTTGCCGTTCTGGTCACAGTATGGATAAGGCTGGCCCAATTTCCTTTCTAGTCAAAGACTGTTGATAGTGGAGACTCAACTATGGTAATGTCATTGAATGTCAAGGGCTAATGGCTGGATTCTGTGTTGTTGGAAATGATCATTGCCTGGCACTTCACAGAATCATAGAATTGTTACAGTACAGAAGGATGCTATTCAGCCCATTATGCCAGCAACAGCTCTTCAGATGAGCTCTTCAAAATTCTGTGGTGCAGATGTTACTTGCCAGCTATTAGTCTAAGCCTGGATATTGTCCAGGGCCTGCTGGACTGCTTCATTATCTGGGGAGTTGCAAATGGTGCTGAATGTTGTGAACTCATCATCAACAACACACCTATATCTGACCTTCTATAGGAGGGATGGTAATTAATGAAGCAACTGAAGATGCTTGGACCTCGAACACTAACCTGAGGAACTCCTGCAGAGCTGTCCTGGAACTGAGATGACTGACCCCTCAAAGCCTGTCCACCATTTGCAAGGCACAAGTCAGATGTGTACTTGATGATTTTTGCTCCAGCACTTTGCAGAAGCTTGCTATCACCCAGAAATTTGCAGCCTACTTGATTGGCATCTGATCTAGCACCTTCAACATTCACTCCTTGCATCGTTAATCCGCAGCTGCAACAATATGTACCATCTACAAGATGAAGTATAACAACTCACCAAGGTTCCTTTGACAGCACTTTCCAAAACTACAACCTCTACTTCCGAGAAGGACATGGGTAACAAGTACGTGGGAGCACCAAAACTGCAAGTGCCCCTTCAAGCAAAACACTACAGCCTATGTTGTGTTCCTTTGCTCTTGCTGGATCAATATCCTGGGAGTTACCAACACTCTGCATTATCTCCACGACATGGATTTCAGTGGTTCAAGAAGGCAACTCACTATCATTTTCTCAAGGACTATAAATAAATGCTGGCCTGGCCATCAATACATTCCCTTGCAAGAATAAAAATAGATCTGGATCTTATTGTATTATTTAGTCAGTAGTTCAAACAAAGTGCTGGAGAAACTCATCAGGTCTGGCAGCATCTATGGAGAGACAAATTAACATTCTTTTACAAAAGCACCAACTTCTATGCGATTGAACAGGAAATAGTTCTGTGCATTGAGTGTGATTAAGTTGTTTGGAATTAAAGGTGTCGCATATGGATTGATAATTTTCTGTATCACTGACTCCTTTAATTGGCATCAACTTCATCAAATTGGCATGACTTTGGGCAGTAACACTGCTTTCCTTTTTCAGAAAGAGCATCATCCTTATTATGACTTATCTGTGAAAATTCTACGAGCAAAGAATATTGTTGGAGGAGATTTCTGTAAGTAATTACCTGTCTGTCTAAAGTATTTGTAACCTTGCTGTTACTTTCAGAGGTTGTGTGCTATATTTGAAACAAACGATAGGAATACTTCGGACTCCCACCACTGCTGACTCGCTGCTTCCCATAGTGGCTGGTGTTGTATAACATAATTACATTTGTTTATTTAAATGTTCTTGTTCTCTTGGATAGTTCTGTGCTGGCAGTTGGTATCTAATTTAACTGTAGCTACTTTAGCCTAGCAATTCACCTTGCTTCAGAATTTGTATGACCTGAGACCATGAGATCATAATATTGTATACTGTTCTTTGGGATTATCAGACTTTGAATGCTTGACTACTTTCATAGCATTTAAAACTAGCATAGCCCATTCTTGTTTGCACAGAGAAGTCCTTTCTCACTACCATTACTTAATAAAGCCAGCCACAGTAAACAGCAATGGAGACTAACATGAATAATACCTAATTCTTGCATGCAGTGAATCTCCAAATGAATGTGCCGGTATTATTTGGAGGTATACTAGGTGTGTATTTTCATTTTGTAAAGATGCTATTTATGATTTTCATCATCTTAATATGGTATGCACAAACATATTTCTTGTCCAGAAGTAGGTCCAGTCGTATCCTTTTCATTTAAGTTTGAATAAATGGCTGTGACGGGTCTCTATGAATTTAAAAAAAAAGAGTTGTTACCTCGCAGTGCCCAATCTCTTCCTCCTCACCAGTATTACTCCCTCTGCTGTGCCCCAGAAATTCTGTATAAATACCTCAATACCGTTATGAAAATCTCAACTAAGTATAGAAAAGGCATTGGATGGCAGAGAGTCCCCGGAGTCTCATTGCAAAAATAATGGTGGAATTCATTATGTAGTGACATTATTGTGCTCAGTTCTTTTTGGTATTTCCCACTTACCAGTACCAGGAAAGCCTGCGCATATAGTGATGGTGAGGTATCAACTTCACTGGGACCCACTGACTCACCACCTCTCCTGATAGCATTCATTCGCTGAAAATCAAAAACTGGGTACCACACAGATGAAACACAAATGAAGTCGGAGCAGCAATGCACACAGCCCTGTCATTTAGTCCATAATAGAAGCCATCACTTTCCCCACACACAAAAACTACACTGTTAACCTTACAAACCCATGTGTGTTTAATGTGTTTTCTCAATTCTTTTATGGGTGCTCCAGTGTGCTGCTCTCCTTTACTGTGCTGGAGACAGGCTGTTGAGCCTGATGCCCCTTTTCCTGGGATGGCATAGATTGGCATCCTGTGGTTGAGCTCCCTGGCACAGAGGTGATCTTCTGTATGATGGCATCTGTTGCAAGTATTTGGAGACATTGTTGTCAGTTGGCAGAGAGGCAGAGCAGAGGCTGTTCCAGGACACTTTGAGGAATCCCCCTAATGGTTACAGCAGATGTTCATCCACTGCAGTGATTCATTTACCTCCCTATGCTTTCCTGAGAGGAACAAGCACCTGGCAGCAACTCCAGGCATCACCTTCTTCCCTGCTCCTTGGTTGTGGATACTGGGGATTAAATACAAGGTGATGAAATGCAGGTCAGCACATACGTTATCCTATCTATGACTGGATGGGTTTGGCCCTCTATTATTGCCCTAGTCTCTCATTGAAGTGAGCCCCACGTTCTGAAGCACCGGAGATTTCAGTTTCCTGGAGCAATATGTCATGGAGGCAACCAGGGAGCAGGCTGTCCTGGATGTAGTAGTGGGTAATGAGGCAGATTTAATAAATGACCCAGGAGTAAAAGATCCCCAAGGAAGTAGTGATGATAACATCATAGAATTTACAATTCAGTTTGAGAATGAGAAACTTGTGTTTAACTTAAAGGGAATTACATTGAAATGTGGATACAGTTAGCTAGACTGGACTGGGCAGATAGATTAGCAGGAATGACAGTAAGCAAGTAGTGGCAGACATTTAAGGAGATAATCACGACTCTCAGCAAAAGTTCAGCCCCTACACTGGCTGAAGTTACCATGAAGGGCTGTCCTTCTCATCTTCTCCCCTCGCCTGTGTCATTGTGACCCTCAAGTTAAATCACCACCAGTTATGTGTCTCTAATGAAAGTACAGTCCTATGGTCTGGTAAGACAGTGGCAACTTGACTAGATGGAGGTAGCATATTGGCATGAACAGAGGGTTTGGCTAATGGGCAGGACACAGTGATTGGGCATAAGGCGTTCTTCTTTCTGTTGGTGACCCCTGACCAGTGGGGTTCCACAGGGATGACTGCTGGGATTATAACTGTTTACAACATATATTAATGACTTGGAGAAAGGAATAGAATGTACTGTAGCCACATGTGCAGATAACACAAAAATTAGGTGGAAAGGCCGGTTGTGAGAGGGATACAAACAGCGTGCAGAGAAATATTTGTTGGTTAAGTGAGTGGCAAAAAGTTGGTAAATGGAGTATTTTTTTAATGTGGGAAAATACAAACTTGTTCATTTTGGAAGGGAAAACAAAAAAACAGAATATTACTTAAATGGAGAAAAACTGCAGAAAGCTGCAATACAAAGGCACTTGGGGGTACTTGTGCGCAAAGCACAGAAAGCTAGCATACATGTACAGCAAGAAGGCTAATGAAATGTTGGGTGTTATTTTAAGGGGTTTGGAGTGTAAGAGGGAAGTCTTACAGCAACTGTACAGTGTGCTGGTGAGACCACATCTGGAGTCCTGTGAGCACTTTTGGTCGTCTTATTTAAGGAAAGATATTTCATTGAAGGCAGTTCAGAGAAGGTTCACTAGGATGATCCCTAGTGTGAAGGGATATTGTAAGGCTAAACAGTTTGGACTCCGTTCACTGGAGTTTAGAAGAATGAGGGATAATCTCATTGAAACATATAGGATTCTTGAGGGGCTTGACAAGGTAAATGCTGAGAGGATGTTTCCCCTCATGGGAGAGCCTAGGATCAGAGCGTTGTCTCGGAGTAAAAGTGTGCCAATTTAAGACTCAGATGAGAAGGATTTTTTTCTCTCCAGGTTCTGAGTCAACTCCTTTCCACAGAGAGCTGTGGGCACAGAGTCCTTCTGTATATTGAAGGTTGAGATAGATTCTTTAATCCTCGATTTTTCAATTTATACTTCACTTTAAAACAATCTCAGCCTCATTTCCGAAATCCCTTCATGGCCTTGCCTTCCATTACTCTGTAAAACCTTATTGCTCTATGTTCCTGGCCAACTTTCAATTTTAGCTGTTTTACCATCCTGATTTTAGTCATTCCTCAACCATTGGCTATGTCTTTAGCTGCCTTGATTGTAAACTCTGGAATTCCAATCATAACTGTCTCTCTGCCTCTGTGCTTGTCTCTCTATGTCTCTCTCTGCCTCTGCCTCTCGGTCAGTCTCTCTCTCTCTCTCTTTCTCTCTCTCTCGATGTATCTCTTTCTGCTTTTAAATAACTCCATCTTGCCATTGATACACACTGCTTCCACTGTATTGTGGATGGCAATAAATGTTTAAGTTGGTGCCTGTGTTTTGAAAAGGAATCAGTAATCAATAGCACAATTGTCCTACCAGCCTGATAGTGTGCTTCTGTTTATGTATTTATAGAAATAAAGCATGCGAGGTCCTCAGCCCAACAAGACACCCCTAAAAAGGTTCAAACAGGATTTTGTTTGATACATTGGAGTAGTAACTTGAGACTCCTGATATTTTAATAGTGCTGAACTAATTTTAATATGCAAGAGCAGCAGGGACCAAGACTGCCTGCCTATACTATTGTGTAATAATGTACCTGAGCATGCATTGACATAGCTTTTAATTGTTTCATATTTGATTGTTGCCAGTGTATAAAGCAGGCTGTTACGTTTCTTTACACCTCCCTACGGCATCTGCAGTAGATTACAGAACAAAAACCATATCCAATAACAACAATCCTGAGTGGGATGAAACTTTCAAGTACAGGATCCAGAGTATGGTGAAGGTAAGCCAGGCTTGAGAAAAGAAAGCAATCTGTAATGGCTTAGACCAATCTGTTGTTTATCATCTAAGTGTTATGCGAACTATCCTGCAGATTTGAAAGGGGACCCCTATTCAGCATCAAGGCTGCTGAATTTGGAACACTTTTTTATGGGAGAAATTAACGTTATTCTGCCATATTTTGGGTTACTGAGAGCTCAAACTGCATCTCAGTGGAAGGGGCATGCAGAGATTCTGTGTTACTTTGGAGAGGGATGCAGAGCCCATGTTGAGTCACATTGGGAAGGGGATACAGAGAGCATGTTGAGTCACATTGGGAAAAATATACAGGGACCATGTTAGGTTATAGTGGGAAGGGTTTACAGAAACCAGGTTGGGTCACATCGGGAAGGGTTTACAGAAACCAGGTTGGATCACATTGGGATGGGTTTACACAGACCAGGTTGGGTCACGATTTTCAGAGGGCTCTGATCCACAGAACTCAATGTGTTAAATTAGGAGGAGTGGGTGCACTTCCCACACAAATTTGTGGTGAGTGTAAAGACCATACTATGCTATGTTGAGGTAGCTAAATAAATTCCACCTTGCATAAAGTTGAGGAAGGTTTACAGAGTTCATATTCTATTATGTTTGCGGTAGATATGCAGATTCTGTATTGTTATGTTGGGCAGGGTGTGCAGAGTCCATGCTGTGTTTTGTTACAGTGGGAAAGTGTGTGCAGGGCTGTATTGTGTTATGTTGAGAAATGTGCAACAGCCAAACTGTGTCACATCCTAAGTGTTAGGGAAGATCTAGAGGAATGAATGTGCAAGGAATTTACACAAGTTCAAGAATTGCAAAATTGCTATTGGAGACTGGGATAGTAGTAGTCTAAAGGGAATGGTCCTAGACAGTCTTCAGGTAATTTTCTGCTGCAGTGTATTTCTAGTCCACGGAGAAAGGAGGTACTGCTTGACCTGGTTCTTGAGCATTTGGTGCACTGTTTGAATCAAAAGTTGGTAGGGTAACATCTGAGGAAGAAGACGATCATAGTTTCATTAGATTCAAGTTGGCTATAGAAAGGGACGTGGAAATACACAGAGTAACAGTAATTCATTGTGGTAAAAATGGATCTGACCAGATAAATTGAACATGAAGGTTGGTAGAAACTGTAAAACTGTAACTGAACAATGGATGACCTTTAAAGAAGAGTGTGTTCAGTCAGAGAGTCAAGGCAGAGACAAAGGGGAAAAGTCAGACAATCAAGACCAGAGACTGCTGGAAGACAAAGGGATATGGTGATAAAGAGGAAAAAGAAAAAGTGTCCTTATGATAAATTTTAGATGGATAATAAATTGGGAAGTAGGCTGAATATAGAAAGGTCCAGAGAGGAATTGCAAGAAGTAAAGTATGAAAGGCTATTAAAGCCAACATAAAAGGGAATCAAATGTCTTCTATAGGCATTGAACTAGTAAGAGGTGATGCATGGCAGCTAGAATGGAGATTTAGATGTGAAGACAAGAATGGTTGAGTTGTTAAATAAATACTTTGCATCTGTATTTGCCAAGAATGAAGGTACAGTACCAGGTCATGGTGAAAGAGGACATTATTTTGACATCTGAAATGCTCAAAATTGATGAGTTATTGAATAAGGGTCCTTAAAGCTAAAAAGACTGGATGAGATTCAAAGATATTGAAGGAAGTGAAACTGGGAGTTGTGGAGGCAGTGGCCATAATTTGCCAGTTTGTTCTTGTACATGGGGTTGGTGCCACAGGACTGATGCATTGCAAATGTCACAGTCTTGTTCAAGAAATGCAGGCAGTTCAATCTTGATGGTGAGGAAACTTCTGGAAATGATAAGTTGGAACAAAACTAATAGTCACTTGCGCAAATACAAGTTAATTAAGAAAAACTAGTACAGATTTGTTGAGGGCAGATTGTGTTTAACTAACTTGCCTTTTTTTTGTTGAAGTAACAGAGAGGATTGTTGATGGCAATACTGTTTCTATGCTGCACGTTATATCCAGAGGCTATTTGACAAAGTGCTGCGTAACAGATTTGAGAAGTCATGGTATAAAATGAACAGTGGCGAAGTGCATTAAATTAGCTGAGTTACAGGTACTAAAGAGAAGTGGTTAGTGGTTAGTGGATAGTTTTCAGACTTGAAGATGTGTGTGGAGTTGTTCAACTATTAGAGTGGCTGTTCCTGGTGTATATTAGTGACCTAGACCTTGACGTTTCAAAATTTTCACAAATCATGGAGGCATTCTGTGAGGATGGTATAGAACCTCAAAAATGTGTATACAGATCAGTGGAATGAGCGGAGTAGTGGCAGGTGAAATTCAATGCACTGAAATGTGAAGTTATTCATTTCGGTAGGAAAAAACACAGACGTCATAAAGAATAAAATTCTATAGGGAGTGTATGAGTGGATGTGTATGTGAACAAATCATTGAACGTGGCAGGATAGGTTGAAAGGGTGGTTAATAATACATGTAGTACCCTAAGTTTGATTTAATAGGGCATAAGCAATGAAATTATATTACACTTGTACACGATAATATTTTGTTCAGTTGTGGGTACCATATTTAAGAAGGATGTGAAAGTATTAGAATGAGTGCAGGAAAGATTCATGAACATGTTTCCAGGGAAGAGGAACTTCAGTTATGAAGGTAAATTGGAGAAATTAGGGCTGCTTTCCTTGTAGAAAAGAAGGTTGGGAGGAGAAGACATAGTGTGTGGTCGGAGTAGGAGGGGAAAACTGTCCTCATTCATGGAAGGATTAAGAACAGTGAAGATTCAAGGTAATAGGCAAAAAAAAAGCAATAGAGACATGAGGAATTCTTAAACGTACAGTTGTCAGAGATTGTGGATAAAGCATAGTTCATATGGTGTTACATGGGAAGAATGGGAAAAGCCCATATTGTATCCCACTGGATGCGGTGTCCGAAGCACATACTGTGTCATGATCAAAATAGCCAAAGCCCACACTTTCTTACAATGGGGAATCTTATGCAGCACCCATATTTTGTCACATTTACACTTACTGATTGTGACACTATTGGAAACATTCTATTTGGTTTAATTGAAGACTGATAAGGGATGCAGCCACAGCTTCCTTATCAAGATGATGTTTGCCTCATAATCTTGTGTTGCGCAGTGGTTCACTATGATGTATTTTCTGGCCTGTTTATGAGATTTTCTTTGTCTTATTTAGCATGTACTGGAACTCTCCCTCTACGATGCCACAGTTAAAGGGACAAAACATCTATCGACAGTAGCCTTTGATATTGGAAAAATTGAACATGGGAGTGATTTGAAGACTACTGTAGACCTGAAGGTGAGGTATTTATTTTGCTGTGATAGAACCGTGTCCCCTTTTCTATAAGGGAAAGTAGTGTGTGCTGTAACTGTTTTAACAGGAGCCCAGCCAATAGAAATGATGTTTATAAAAGGGGAGCCCAGCCTGTCATAGGACCATATTATGACAGAAGATTTGCCGAAGTGGTTACACTTCAAAATTAATGCTCTGAAATACTGTGAGGACATGCAAGGTATGTGAAATGCAATTCCTTCTCACATGAACCTTGTTTTGATAATCGTACTGTGGCAGAACCTGTTAAAGTTGTAGCAATTGCTCTCTTTTCCTGGTTAGTGGGCTTTCTTTCAAGCACTGGTTATTTTTCCCCCCATAGTACCATAAGAACTAGGAATAGAAATAGACCATTTGGCCCATTAAGCCTGTTTTACCATTCAATAGGATCATGGCAGATCCAAAATTCTTCATGTCCATTTTCCTGTATTTTCCCTGTAACACTTGATTCTCCAAACTGATCAAGAATCTATGCATCTCAGCCTTAAATATACACAGTGACTGCACCCACAGCTTTGAGAGTCAACCAAGTTTCTGAACCACCTGAGAGTTGAAATTCCTTCTCACCTCAATTTCAAATGGGCGCCCTTTTATTCTGAGACTATGGCCTCTGGCCCTAGGCTGTCCCATGAGGGAAAACATCTTCCCAGCATTTACCTTGTCAAACCCCTTAAGAATCTGATATCTTTCAATGACATAACCCCTCATTCTTAACTCCAATGAGTAATGTCCCAACTATTTAGCCTTTGTTTGTAGGACAAGCCTTCCACACCAAGGATCATCCTCATGAACCTTCTCTGAACTGCCTCCAATGAAATAATATCTTCCCTTAAATAAGGGGACCAAAACTGGCCAGTGGACTCCAGGTGTGGTCTCACCAGGACATTGTACAGTTGCAGTAAGACTTCCCACTCTTACACTCCAACCTCCTTAAAATAACAGCCAACAGTCCATTAGCCCTCTTGATTACCTGCTGTACCTGTATGTGAGCTTTGTGTTTTGTGCACAAGTATTTTGTGCCTTTGTATTGCAGCTTTCTGCATTTTTTCTCCATTTAAGTAATATTCTGTTCTTTTGTTTTCCCTTCCAAAATGAACAAGATTGCATTTTCCCACAACATACTCCATTAACCAAATTTTTGCCCGCAATCTCTGTATCTTTCCCACTTCAGAATTTTCTACATATAGCCATTCTTATAAGCAAGGTGTTTAATTATCAAGGTTGTAATACAGCTAGGGAATCGGGAGGCACTGAAGAACAAAAATGGGGAATCCTGACAACTTTTGAATGATAATGAGTTAGGTGCTGTAGGATCCTCATGTACCCTGACTTGATCTTGAAGTTGGACTTTATTAAAACGATTTTATATTAGTCAGCGTTTATTAATGCTCAACACACAACAAACATACTGTTCACTTGATCATTGCTTCTCAAACCAATGCTGGGAAATGGAATTTCGTATTCCATCAACCTAATATCACCCCGCACACCAAGTCTCCAGCTCTGGTGGGCTACTTAAAAGTCTTCCCGTTGGCCTTGGATGGGCAATATTGTGGGTTTTCTAGAATAATATCTGAACTCCAAGGATTAAATTGCAAAGATTAAATTGCTAGGGTTGTGCTTTCTGGAATTTGGAAGTTGGGGCACAGGTTAGTGCACAGCCATGAGCAACTAAATAGTCTACTGCTGTTCCCTGTGTTCCTCATTTACATTTTTCTCTCTCATGATTACTGAGGCCAGTCCTGGTGCAATGAGTCTGGTAAACCAGAGATGTTTTTAAAAGTAATATGAACTGAAAGACAATCTGATTGCTAGATTTCCCTACATCTAAGCTCAATACAACATTGAAGACTAAAAACAATAAGTGAGCAAAGGAATCTCATTACATTTAATCTGTTCCTTTTAGGATGACGAGCAACTGGAAGTGGAGTTTCATTTGGCAAAATGGTAAGCATTGAATTTACAGGGGTTCAGAAGATTTGAGGATAGGAAAAATGTCTTTCAATCCTATTTGCCATTTTTTTAATAGCTATTTCTTTTCAAAGCCATTTACAATGAATACCAATGTTCATCCATGTGATGTTTACAGGTGACTGGATATTTTGGACAGAGTAGGCTATAGGCTGACTGAATGCTTGTGCACTAGTTCAGGTGTTGCCATCTTCTACATCTGTAGGTTTGAGAAGTTGGACAGATGATATTTTCACAAACGAGCAGGACAAATTGAATCAGATCCATTATCACCTTATCAAACTTCTCCCAATTATTAGCATCATGATAGCAGTATCATTGAGCAACGCATACCCATCCATAAGCTGCTTACTGATGCTCAGATCAGACTTCACCAAAACCACTGGACCACCAACTTGTCACAGCCTTGATCTTGATATAGATGCAGGAGCTGATGCCAGCTGTACAAGTGAGCATCAAAGTACATTGCACTCACGAACCTGCTGTTCTGAGATAAACAAGAGACAGGTGAAAGCCCTCCAGTGGTTGAAACTGGAGTCAAAAGAGTCAAAGGCATTAATGACTCAAATGTTACAAAGCATAGCCATTGACCTGAGGATTGAAAGAATTTTTGAAATTTATACAAGATGACCAAAAATTTTAAAAAAGGAAGAAATAGGATATGAGGGTAAACCTGCTAGGAATCAAATTGTAACAGCTTTTATGCATTTATGAAGAGAAACATATTCAGAATACATGTTGGTCCCTTAGAAACAGATGAAGGAGATGTTTTCGTGGAAAATGAAGAAGGAGCAAAGGTGCTGAACAAATATTTTGCATGTTTGTTCATGATCGAGGACATAAATTATATATCAGCAACAGAAAATAGCCAAGGGGCTATTCCTTAAAAGTAAGGAACAGAAGATAACTGATAATGGGGAGAAAAGAAGTATAGAAGAAATTTAAGGGACTACAAGTTACCAAATATCCAGGGTGTGGTCGTGTACAACCTAGGATTCTAAAGGGGGTAGCTGCAGAGGTCCTGCTCAAGATCTTTTGGGATTCCCTAATGTAACAGTGCTTCAGAAAACCAGGAAGATAGAAAACAGTGAATTGTAGGTGGTTAACTTGACTTGATTTAGTCAGGAAACTGGAAATTATTATTTAACCATGCACTTAGAAAATCATGGTATGATCAGACAGAGTCTTATTTTTCTGTGAAAAGACATTCCTGTTGGAGAAGTGTGTGCATAGAAGTCATCGGGTAGATAAAGGGGAGCCATTAGATATCATAAAATTATTACACCATAGAAGAAAGCCATTTGGCACATCATGGATGCATTGGCTTTCCGAATGTGCAATTCATTTAGTGCTATTCTCTTGCATTTTCCCATAACCTTACACATTCTTCCTTTTGACAGCTTCAGTTGAACTTGCCTCCACTGTAGTCTCATGCAATCCATTCCAGACATTAACCACTCACCGAATGAAAGTGTTTTTCTCATCTTGCTTTTATGATTGCCAATTACTTTCACTCAGACCCCTTTCACTTTTGATCCTTTCACAAGTGAGAACAGTTTCTCACTATCGGCAATGCTCAGACCCCTCATGGCTTTGAGTACCTCTAACAAGTCTCTTTTCGGCCTTTTCTTGAAGAAAAGATGTCATATACCTTGACTGCCAAAGGATATTCAGTAAGTTGCCACACAAGTTTCTTACATAAGTAAGAACTCATGGATTTGTGAGTGACGTACAAGCATCGTATAAGGATGAGTTAACAAACCAGAAGCAGAGAGTAGGAATAAATGGGCATCTTTCAAGTGGCAGACTGTAACTAATGAAGTACCACAAGAGTTGGTGTTGAGCCCTTAGCTACTTACAATCTTAGTGAATGACTTACACAGAGTTGAGTGTAATTGATTCAAATTTGCTAGCGGTATAAAGCTAAGTGGGGACGCAAGCTGTGCGTTGGACATGGATGACAGCATAGCAGATAGAGTGTAATGTAGAGAAGTGAGAGGTTTGGTAGGAATAGAAAAGCAGAATAATTTTTTTAAAATGTGAAACTTTTTAAATGAAGGTGTTTGGAGGGACTTGGGTATACGTATACCAAAAAGTAACACCCATTAATCTCTCTGTAACCATGATTGGCTCCAGCATTGTGGAGTCTCAAATTTTCTCAGGGGTTAACGTTGATCAGAGGCTTAACTGAACAAACCTCATCGCTACTGTGGCTACAGGAGCAGGACAGAGACTGGGTATTGTGCAGTCACTTCTTCTGGATCACATTCTGTCATCACCTCTCATCTCGCTAGAGCATTCTGATGGATAGTTGATTTCCACATTATATTAAAATGTTACCAAGCAAGGTTAGCAAATTATAAGCAATTCACACTGTCTAAAAAATACGCTTTAAATTTGAACGTCATTTCCAGCTTTCAACAACTGATCTCTTTTCCAACTAAACCCTATAATGATCTGTACATCAGGTTTCTGCTATATTCTCTTTTACCATTGCTTAAACATAGCCATAGTAAATATTTGATAAATCAGTGTTAACAACATTAATTATTACAGTATGCAAATTGATCCTTATCTGTGGATATATATTCACATGAGACTTAAAGCCACACAGGGCTTCTTCAGTCACATAGATAAGATGATAGTAAGCATATTTTCCTTCTCATCCCAGGAGAGAGATTCTGACTGTTAAGTTGTTGATTTGATTTGATTTATTACTGTCATGTGTACTGAGATTCAGTGAAAAGTGTTGTCTTAAGTGCTTTTCAGGCAGATTGTACTATGCAAATGCATCAGGGTAACAGAAGAGAGTGCAGGATACTAGAACTGGGAGCATAGTCTTGAACAGATTTAGGACTGAATTGAGGAATCTTGTCACCCAAAGGTTTGAGAATCTGTGGAATTCCCTGCCCAGTGAAGCAGTTGAAGCAACCTCATTGTATGTTTCTAAGGCAAAGATAGATTTTGAACAGTAAAGGGATTAAAGGTTATGGTGAGCAGGTGGATAAATGGAGCTGAGTCCACGAAAAGATCAGCCATGATCTTGCTGAATGGCAGAGCATTCTTGAGGGGTGAGATGGCCTACTCTTGTTCCTATTTCTTATGTTCATAGAATCCCTACAATGTGGAAACAGGCCCTTCAGCCCAACAAGTACACGCCAACCCTCTGAAGAGCATCCCACCCAGACCCATCCCCCTACCCTTTCCCTGTAACCCTGCATTTCCTATGGCTAACACACCTAGTCTACACATCCATGAACACAATGGGCAATGTTCTTCTGTATGTTCTCATACAGGGTTACAGCTGCCAAGAAGGTGCAGAGAGAAATCAGCATTAACATTTAAGAGGTACATTCGAAGTTTTATAACAGTGGGGAAGAAGCTGTACTTGAATTCAAAATCCTATATCTTCTACTGAATGGAAGAGGGTTGAAGAGAATATAACCAAGATGGGAGAGGTCTTTGATAATATTAGCTGATTTCCTGATGCAGTGAGAAGTATAGATGAAGTCAGTGGATGGGAGGCTGGTTTGTTTGAGGGACAGATGTGTTCACGACTCCCTGTAGTTTCTTGTGGTCTTCGGAAGAGTAGTTGCCATACCGTTCTGTGGTGCATCTATAAAAGTTGGTAAGATTCTTTGTGGACGTGATGAATTTCCTTAGCCTCCTGAGGAAGGAGAGGCGTTATTGTGCTTTCTTGACCGTAATATCAACATGAGTGGACAAGGAAAGATTGTTGCTGATCATCACTCCCAGGAACTTGATGCTGTCAACCAACGCCACCTCAGCACCATTGATGCAGATAGGGGTGTGCCCATCCCTCCAGTTCAGTAGGGAGTGGATCTCCCGAGTCATCCATGGTTTCCAGTTGGAGAACGTTTGGATTAATTTCTTCAGCACGCAGTCATAAGCACACTTACTAATGAAGTACTTAATGGTAGTGGCAAACTCATTAAGGTTGGCCGCTGAGTTCTTGAATATGGACCAATCCACTGACTGTAGGCAGTTTTGTCGAAGCCCTTCTCTTTCCTCAGACCAACACTGCATTATTTTCTATACTAGGTCTTCATGCTTCAGTTTCTGCTTATAAGCTGGGAGGGAGGGCATAGTGTTGTGGTCTGATTTTTTCGCTCTATCACATGCTAATTCACACAGCTTCACCAGAAAATAGAGACAACAAGGTGCAAGGCTGGATGAACACAGCAGGCCAAGCAGCATCATAGGAGCAGAGAGGCTGACGTTTCGGGCCTAGACCCTTCATCAGAAAAGGGGGAGGGGAAGGGGGTTTTGAAATAAATAGGGAGAGAGTGGGAGGCGGATAGAAGAGGGATGGAGGAGAGGATAGGTGGAGAAGAAACAAACAGGTCGAAGAGGCGGGGATGGGGCCAGGAAAGGTGAGTGTAGGTAGGGAGTTAGGAAGGGGATAGGTCAGTCCAGGGAGGACGGACAGGTCAAGGGGGCGGGATGAGGTAGGTCGGTAGGAGATGGAGGTGCGGCTTGAGGTGGGAGGAGGGGATAGGTGGGAGGAAGAACAGGTTAGGGAGGCAGGGACGAGCTGGACTGGTTTTGGGATGCGGTGGGGGGAGGGGAGATTTTGAAACTTGTGAAATCCACATTGATACCATTGGGCTGCAGGGTTCCCAAGCGGAATATGAGTTGCTGTTCCTGCAACCTTCGGGTGGCATCGTTGTGGCACTGCAGGAGGCCCAGGATGGACATGTCGTCTGAGGAATGGGAGGGGGAGTTGAAATGGTTCGTGACTGGGAGGTGCAGTTGTTTGTTGCGAACCGAGCGTAGGTGTTCTGCAAAGCGGTCCCCGAGTCTCCGCTTGGTTTCCCCGATGTAGAGGAAGCCACACCGGGTACAGCGGATGCAGTATACCACATTGGCAGATGTGCAGGTGAAACCATTTCAACTCCCCCTCCCATTCCTCAGACGACATGTCCATCCTGGGCCTCCTGCAGTGCCACAACGAT